ATATTAGGGCATTATAATTTCTACAAGATTATTGCTTAGTCAATGTCAAAAGCTTGATCTTTACCCTCCATTTTTTAAAAAATACTCATTAACCAAAGGGTGCCTGGGTGTTAGTTAAGTGTCTGCCTTTGGCTCAGATCACGATCTCCAGGTCTTGGGATGGAGCCCTGCATCAGCAATGAGCATCTCATCGAGCTTCCTGCTCAAAGGGGAGTCTGCTTCTCTCTCTCTCTGTCCCTCTCCACCTGTCACTCTCTCAAAAGAATAAAATACTCATGAGCTAAAACAAAAACTCTAAACCTGTATTTTCCTTAAACTACCTACACTAAGCATCTTTTAATGTGAAATGGGATCAGAAAATTTCACCTCTGAATTTTCTGCAATAGGAAGTCAGCAGACTTATAAATGGATAAATCATGAAATAAGCAGTTATAAGCATACTAGTTAGTAAGATTTTTTTTATTTTAGCAAACATCAGAAAAAAACAACCAAAAAAGTTGAAAGAAAGCAGTCGCCTCTAGGAACTGGGATTTGGCTATAAGAAGTGCAACAGAGCTACTGTTTTCCCTTTCAGCTCTGTAGTAGTTCACTTTTTTTTTTTTAAAGATAGATTTATTTATTTATTCATTCATTCATTCATTCATTCGAGACACACACAGAGAGAGAGGCAGAAACACAGGCAGAGGCAGAAGCAGGCTCCGTATAGGGAATCCAATGCAGGACTTGATCCCCCCGGGGATTATGCCCTGAGCCAAAGGCAGATGTTCAACCTCTGAGCCACCCAGGCGTCCTAGTAGTTGTTAACTTTAAAAATTATCTCCAAGTATTATTTTGATTTAAAACAAATTTAAGAAAATTACAAATTACATCTTTCTGTAAAAGTCCCATTTTCCTATGACCTTCAACAATAGGTAAATGATCAGCTTAGAACACAAAAGCAAGGGGCACCTGGGTGGCTCAGCAGTTGAACCGCCTTTGGCTCAGGTTGTGATCCCGGGGTCCTGGGATCCAGTCCTGCATCCGGCTCCCCACAGGAAACCTGCTTCTCCCTCTGCCCATGTCTCTGCCTCTCTCTCTGTCTCTCATGAAAAAATAAATGTTTAAAAATAAAAAGAATACAAAAGTGAAAATAAAGTTGCTTTACTATCAGTCACACTCGTACATTATTTGTATCCTGATTGGCAACAACTTCCCAAGCGGTGAAGTCAAGAACAAAAAAAAAAGAAAAGAAAGAAAGAAAAGAAAACTAAAGAAATCACCTACGGGTTCCCAGTAGTTGAATGTTTCATCACAGTCAGAGATGTTGCTCAGGAGAGCAGCACACAACCGTGCTGAGAGCAGACACTTGAAAGCAGTAGATCCTTCAGGGGCCCAGACTTGTCCTGCTTTGTTCCCAGATAACCTGCTCAGAAGCAAAGAGAGACGTGTCAGGAAGACCTAGAACGGCCCAAACTAGACAGAAGTGACAAGAATGGCAAGGACATCAAAGCACACTTAAGTCAACTAAAAAGTCAGCTGTAGAATACAGAAGCCAGGGACCAAGAACTGAATCGTATTCTTTTTAGTCCCTGTTTTTAATGAGTAGGCTTATTCGTACTTTTAATTCACTGCCTCAATGGCACTCCTGGGAGGCCACAAAGCTCTCGTTCTCCTGCTCTTTCTTCTCTTTAACAAGGTCACTACTTTCCACGGCCTTAACTCATTTCGCCACTTGTTCAAACGCACCGAGGCCTCATGCGGGCGAAGCAGAGAACCTCCTCCGGCTCCGAGGTCCGGCGCTCCGCCCCCGCGCCCCGGGAGCGGGACGGGACGCGGCGGCAGGTGCCGGAGGCGGGGGGTCGTGGGCCCGCCCCGCAGAGGGAGGGGCTGGGCTCTGCGGGCCACGAGGGAAACCGAGAGAGGCCGCCGGGAAAGGTCTCCCTCGGGGGCTCGGCCAGCTGCGACCGCGACGCCAGCCCGCCCGGGGCCTGGCCAGCAGCCTCGGGGCCGCCCTCCGGGCTCCCTCCCCGGCGACACGGAGCCCGGGGCGGGGGGCGTCCGGGAAGAGCAGAGCACCCGGGGGAGGAGCCCGGCAGGCCTGCCCCGCGCCGCGCCGCGCCGCCCCGCGGAGACCCCCGCGCGCCAGCCCCCGCCGCCCCCCCGCCCCGCCAGCCCCCGCCGCCCCCCGCCGCCCCGGCCGCCACGCCCCCGCCGCGCCCGCCGCGCCCGCCGCGCCCGCACACCTACTCGGTCCGCGGCTCCGCGCCGCTCGCCTCGCGGCTGCACAGCAGCTCCCGCAGCTTGTCCGCCGCGGACACCGTGTCCCCGCCGCTGCCCCCGACCCCCTTCGGGCGCTGACGAGCCCCTCGGCTCGCCATGGCACGCGTGGAGAAAGAGGTCCAGTTCCGAACCCTACGAAGGCGGCAAGCGCGGAGACATAGATTTGGCTGGCAACGGTGTCCGCTGAGGGACAAAAGACCTTGACATGCGCAGAAAAGACTAAGTAATAGCGCGTTTGGGCCAATTGGGGCAAACCCCGAGGTAGAAACGAAATGGGACGGGAGACTCGACTTGCACCACCATAGCTACCCGCTTTCCACATGTTTGTGACTATGGGCATTCATCCCTCCGTCCGCTGCTCTCTTCCTCACTCTTCAATACCAATGGAAAGTAGCTAAGGTATTTATCCAGGTAAAAATCACAGCACAGCAGCAGATGAAAGGGGAGGTCCTTAAAAGGTCACTGACACCTTGCCCTCTCTGTATTTTGGGGAGCGTGATAGAGACAGCCTGTAGCTAATTAACTGTTTCATTAATTACAGACAAAGCTGTAATGGCAGAACAGAGAATAAGAAAAATGAAAGCCTAAAGAAATTCTGTGCAACCAATGCAACCTGGCACTGCTATTGCTACTACAACAATTCGGGAAGCATTTTACATACTTTATCCTTTTTAAGTGTAATACAACAACCTTGTTCTTATCAATAAGTAAACTGAAGTCCAAGGTTGCATAAGGAGGAAATGGTGGAGCCCTATTCCAACTCAGGTCTGTCTTATTACAAAACCCATGCTTTTCCCAGGAGGAGATTCAGAGGAAGAGCCTGATGTCTTATAGGTGATAGCATACCTCTGACTCTCAGGGGCTATTCATCTGCTCCTGATACCCTACCCACTGCCCCAGTCACAGAGTTCTATCCCATACGTGGAGAGCTCTGTAGCAGTAGCTGAAATGTTTGTATAGGCAGTGCTAAAACGGGCCTTATAAGACATGTTAAAGGGACTTCTGTATGTGGCCAGGAAGGGGATGGGGCATAAGCAGTAGACAATTATGGAACGAAAAAATTTCATGGGTAAAAAGCAAACCTGCAGTAAAGGTAGTTATAACTTATAAAGCTAGGATGAGGGGATCCCTGGGTGGCTCAGCAGTTTGGCACCTGCCTTCGGCCCAGGGCGTGATCCTGGAGTCCCAGGATTGAGTCCCGCATCAGGCTCCCTGCATGGAGCCTGCTTCTCCCCTGCCTGTGTCTCTGCCTCTCTCTCTCTCTCTCTCTTTCATGAATAAATACAATCTTTAAAAATAAAAAAATAAAGCTAGGATAATGGTTAAAAGACAAAAGTAGTAAAATCAATTATATCTAAAGGGACTCATGAAATAAAAAGATGTAAAATAGGATAACATATACATAAAACGTGGGGGGGGGAGGGTAACAATGAAGTTCTTTTTGAAGGTGTTGAAACTTAAATGCCTCTCAACTTTAATAGACATTGCTACCTTAAGATGTTATATAGAGTGCCTCCTTAATCAAAAATCACCCATTTTCTCATTGCCTGCCAAATGAAAGTACAAATTCCATATTCTAGCAGTCTTTCATCACCTAAATCCAGCCCTATCCTATTTTTCTAATCTTATCTCCCACTACTTTCCTATATACATTTACATTCCAACTAACTAGCCTGAAAAGTGCTCCAGCCACTCCCTTATCTATACCTGTGCCTGGAATGCACATCTTCCTTACCTGACAATCCTCCCATCACAACGCTGCCGTTATTTTAAGATCCAGCTCAAATGCTACCTTGTCCATGTACTAGGCACCATTACGGATAGAAGATAGGTACAAATGAGGGACACCTGGGTGGCTCAGTCGACTAAGCATCTGACTCTTGGCTTCTGCTCAGGATATGATCTCAGGGTCTTGAAATCTAGACCCATGTTGGGCTCAGCACTGGGCTTGGAGCCTGCTTCAGATTTCCTCCCTCTCCCTCTGCAACCCCCCTGCCCCGTGCATGTGTGTGCACTCTCTAATAAAAAATTTTAAAAAGAACAAAGGTATAAGTCACATTACCTGCCCTCAATTAGTTTACAGTGAATGTAGAAAGCTGAGCAATAAACGTGTCCTTAAGAGATCCCTTGATTCTTTACTCCACTCCCCAAAATGTAATGCCAGTGTTCCCATCCCCATTAATGATACTCCTGTTCTTGCAGATCAAAAACCATGCAGTCAGTACTGCTTGATTCCTGTTTAACCCCACACCCTTCCCCCATACACATATAGTTCTTCAGCATATCCTTTTAAATATTACCCAGCCCAACAACATCTTACCACCCTGATCCAGGTCACCATTATCTCTCATTGGCATTAGTTACCTCCTAGTTTGTATCTTGGCTTCCATTCTTATCTTCTACATGCTTTTCTCCAAATAAAGGAATAAGACAGTTATTTCCCTCCCAGAGTTTACAATATAATTCCAATCTTCGGAGCCTAACTATTCATTAACAGGAACATACATTAATTAACATTAGAAGACTCTAGAGTCCTGGTCTGAGCCAATCTCAGTGTCTCTGAGAGATGCTTAAAATAGAAAGCTCCAAAATCCAAGAGGGCAAAGTTTAATCAATCACATGCAGTGGTTACTAGTGAAGACTAGGGAAAGAAAAACAACAATGGCAGAAGGAATATGAGCTTTATTTTTTTTTAAAGATTTTATTTATTTATTCATGAGAGACACAGAGAGAGGCAGAGACAGAGGCAGAGGGAGAAGCAGGCTCCATGCAGGGAGCCAGATGTGGGACTCAATCCCGGGTCTCCAGGCTCATGCCCTGGGCTGAAGGCGGTGCTAAACCGCTGAGCCACCCAGGCTGCCCCAAAAATGAGCTTTATTTTTTTTTAAGATTTTATTTATTTATTCATGAGAGATACACAGAGAGAGCCAGAGACACAGGCAGAGGGAGAAGCAGGCTCCCTGCAGGGAGCCGGATGTGGGACTTGATTCTGGGACTCCAGGATCACGTCCTGAGCCGAAGGCAGGCACTAAACCCCTGAGCCACCCAGGATCCCAAATATGAGCTTTAGAGTCAGACAAATCCAAGTGTGAAGTCTATATCTGACATAAATTCATTCCATGACTTCAGCAATAGTCAACCATGGAGTAAATATTATCATGATGATGCCAATACTAATTATGGAGCACTTTCAACTTACCCAAGCTAATAAATGTTGGTCTGACTCAAAAAACCACTCTTGGAAATTGATTTAGTGAGATAACACAAAAGGGTTAAAAGAAGAGGAATTGGCAGTGTGAAAAAATATGACACTGAAGTTCTATTGCATCTTCAGGGATAAAGTATCTAAAATACAGGATGCTGTTTTATTTGTTTTCCTAGTCATGACTCAGGATCAAAATACAGTACAACTCCATAGGTCACCAATCCCACCACAGTCTATGAGTTTAAGTGACAAAGCCCCAAGTTTCTTTGGAGTCAACTAACATTGGCTAGAGTACCAAGGTAAAAGACTTTACAAAAAACACAGTCTGGAAAGAATTACCAGTTACAAATTGGTCGTTTTCTTTTCTTTCTTTCTTTTTTTTTTTTTTCTACAAGATTTTATTAGAGAGAGAGAGAGCACACAAGCAGTGCGAAGGGGCAGAGGAAGAGGGAGCAGCAGACTCTCTGCTGAACATGGAACCAGACAACACGTTGGGCTCAATCCCAGGACCCCAGGATCATGACCTGAGCTGAAAGCAGATGCTTAACTGAGTGAGCCACTCAAGTGTCCCCAAATTGTCTTTTTCATCTGCACCTGCACTCACACCCACAAAGATTACTCTGGAGAAGTAAATTTATTAAACTACCGAGGTATTACATGTAGTCTTTGCTGAATCTCTTTCCTAAACTGTAATTGCATTGATGCCACCTGCTGCCGAGTGAGGGCCTTGTCACAGGTCTGATATGTCAATCTATAGCAGAGACTGACCTGTTGAGTCTTGGGATGCTGGAAACGACTAAGGAATTGTATGGATATGACAGTGTCCTGGGACACTGCTCGGGCCACTGTGTGAAACTCTAGCTCATCAAATTCTTCCTTCTCATCTAACCAAAAACTAATATCATGCACATAGCACGGAGGATACAGGGAATAGCTTTTAAAGGGTTCTATTTTCCCAGGAACAAAATTCTTCAGGAAACGGGGATCAAAGGTCCACAACATCCTCCAGTCTGAGATACCCCAGACAAGCATGGTTAGTAGGTCCAAGTTCATAGACACAAAGATAAAACTCTGGTCTTTTTGTATAATGCTTGTAGCAGATGTGACAGACCCAATAACCAGATCCTTGGCACAATCTGGGCCAAAATTATGAGACTTCACATAAATAAAATAATCTTTCCCATTTGGTTGAAAGACAAATTCCACTGAACTGCTCAGCTTAGAGCCCTCCAGCAATGTCTGGGTCAGAAGGCTATCAAGAGTGCCCTTCAGGTGATCCAGCAGTGACTGAAGATAATGATCCTTCAGATTTTTATTAAACCCAAGGATAAATAAAATCTCATGAAATGCCGGCATTGTGAAAGGCAAGATAAAGCACTTCCGAAAGACAGGTCCACTGAGGACGTGTAGGGAACCTGGGAAGAAGCCTGGTGCTTGGATGACAGCCTGAACATGAACTAAGAGAGAAGGTCTAAGGCACACCTTATTTTGGCCATAGATTTCTTCATGAGCTTCTTCCTTGCTGTCTAATCCAGGATCCTTGAGAAGATTAAGTTCTGAAAATAACACTAGAAAGTCCTTCATGTCTTGTGTTGTCCCACCAGTCAGGGACTCAGAATTTGAGTTATCTTCACAGAGACTAATCCAAAAGGCAGCCGACAGACTGTCACAGTTCCAGTAAGTGAGAACATTGGTACTTCCCTCTGGCAGTAAAGGAAAGGAACAGTTCAGCCTCTTTAGAGGGAAAGCTTTGCCCAATTCAGCAATGAGCTTCTCATTAATGGTTTTGATGGGATGACAGGAAGGTGCTTCTAGGAAACCTCTGTTGAAACACACATAACAATGACTTTTTAAACTTCAAACATAAATAATTATAATGGATCTAGAATTAAAACCACAAATAACGTATAGAAAAGAATTATCTTTAAGGTGATTCCAAAAACAAATTAAAAAATTCATCTACCAGAAACAGAGATCATGTGTTTCAGAACTCCGATAGCCACCATTCTTACAATATACCAGAAAATATGAGAACGTTTATTTTTTAAAGGTTTATTTATCTATTCATGAGAGACACAGAGAGAAAGATGCAGAGACATAGGCAGAAGAAGCAGGCTCCCCACAGGGAGCCCGATGCAGGACTCTATCCCAGGGCCCCAGGATCATATCCTGAACCAAAGGCAAACGTTCAACTGCTAAGCCACTCAGGCGTCCCAATATGACAAAGTTTAATTCTAAAAAGGCCTGTGGGGCAGCCCGGGTGGCTCAGCGGTTTAGCACCACCCAGGGCGTGATCCTGGAGACCTGGGATGGAGTCCCACATCAGGCTCCCTGCATGGAGCCTGCTTCTCCCTCTGCCTGTGTCTCTGTCTCTGTCTCTCTCTCTCTGTGTGTCTCTCATAAATAAATAAAATCTTTAAAAATAAAAATAAAAAAATAAAAAGGCTTGTGTAAGGTCAGACTGACAACTATTCATAGCATGAACATCATGAACAATTTATCCATGAAATTAATTAACAATTTTTTTGAAATTAATTAACAATTAATCCATTCAATATATGGTTGCCATCAAGTCAATCAGGATACAACTAGAGATAGAAGTAATTTCTGGTAAAACAGGGATCCCTGGGTGGTGCAGCGGTTTGGCGCCTGCCTTTGGCCCAGGGCATGATCCTGGAGACCTGGGATCGAATCCCACATCGGGCTCCCGGTGCATGGAGCCTGCTTCTCCCTCTGCCTGTGTCTCTGCGCCTCTCTCTCTCTCTCTCTCTCTCTCTCTCTCTGTGACTATCATAAATAAATAAATTGAAAAAAAAATTGAAAAAAAATTTCTGGTAAAACAGTAGGTTACCTGTTCAGCTTTCCTACAAGTGCTTCTGGTTCTGGAAAGGAAAACCAGCCGTCACCCAGTTTGATCCTGAAGGTTCTGGGTTGTGAACACCCAAAGGGTAAGCTCCGGGTGAAGATATGGTTCAAAGCACCTTCTACATGAAAGGACTTATCTTGACTCCTGCCAAAATAGTCACCAAGTATGGAGTCTGTCATTTTTTTAATTAATTAACTAATTCATTGTCATTTTTTTAAAAGCAAGTATTTCTAGAGACTAAAGCAGGAAGTTGGTAGAGGAAAGTTTGACTAAGAGATTTTTTTTCATTATTAGTATAAGAGATGAAAAAAAGGCTAGGCTTCTGTTATTACTTACCTATATCCAGTGCACTTGTACCCTGGCACAGACTCACAGCTGAAGGGATGCACCTCACTTAAAATGAATCCTCCCAGAGCGGCCATGGCAACCACCTGCCAGCTGTTGTGCCATTCTCTCCTGGGCTTATCAGCAGAAGTCCCACCTTGTCCTCTACACAATGCCACATGGACTTCTCCTTCCTCTGCAAGAACATCTTTACAGCTAATAGGGGGAGGAGAGCACCAGCAATTTATCAGAAACAAGTTGAAATTATCATAGGAAGTAACCTATACATACCTGGCTTGGCTGTAAAATAATTAAAATCCAAACATATCTATTTACAAAGGTCTATAAGACTTCACACATGCAAAGGAAGTAGCTGGAAGTAAAACCGTAGATTCAATGTTCAACTCATAACTGATACTAGTGGCTGACCAGGGTAATATCTGGCTTTGAATCTGCATTGTTCATCTAATGTCATAGAAAGGTAAATGTCTGCAGAATTCCTATACATGATTCACTGATTGGGCTGTTTTTCCCAGTTCAGTTGTTCATTTCACTCCCTTCCTATTAAAATTTCATATTTAAAATACTAACTTATGGGGAAAACTCAGCGGTTTCCGCGCCTGCCTTTGGCCCTGGGCGCGATCCTGGAGTCCCAGGATCGAGTCCCACATCAGGCTCACGGCATGGAGCCTGCTTCTCCCTCTGCCTGTGTCTCTGCCTCTCTCTCTGTGTGTGACTATCATAAATAAATCAAAAAAAATAAAAAATAAAAAAAATTTCAAATTAATTTTTAAAATCGTAAAAAAAAAAAAAATTCTGGCTATGTGAAGTTTCTTGACAACTATGACCCCTAGAGACCTCCCATATAGTACCACATGTTTTGGTAAAGTAGTGTAAAGCACTATTTTAAGTTCACATTAATCTGAGGTAGTTACTACCATCAATATCCTCATTTTATGGATGAAGAAGCAAAAGCAAATAAGGATCGAGTAGGCTTACCCCAAATCACATAACTATTAAGTGGTGGGTGGGGATTCTGAATCCATGTTTTTGGCCATCAGATTATACTGGCTACCATTATTTTGCATTATCCAAAATCGGTGTTCCTCCCTTTACATGCCCAAGAGCACACTATTTGTACTTTTATTTAACATTTAGGGTGACATGTCTGCCTTTCCAACTAGACTGTGGGTTCCTCTGGAGCTTTACATTAGCTCTAAAACCTATCATAGTAACTTACACACATATGCCCTATTTCCCAAACTAAAATATAGGAGGGCAGTAACTGTAATGTACATCTTAAACATTTTACTTTTTTCTTATTTATGATAGTCACACACAGAGAGAGGCAGAGACACAGGCAGAGGGAGAAGCAGGCTCCATGCACCGGGAGCCCGACGTGGGATTCGATCCCGGGTCTCCGGGATCGCGCCCTGGGCCAAAGGCAGGCGCCAAACCGCTGCGCCACCCAGGGATCCCAAACGTTTTACTTTTGAGTGGTCTCATTTCCTCACCTCTGGAAAAACTTGGCAAGCAGTTCCCTGTTCTTAGCTACTCCAGCTTTGCGTCCACAGTGGGGAAAATTAAAATAAATTCGATCAAACTCCCTGGGGTGCAGTTCCAAGGCATCTGCCAGATGGGTGCAGTCCACACAAAAAAGTATCTCAGTACCTGGCATGAAATACAGACAGGAGGGTGTCTCAAGACCTGAATCCCTCCCTAACCTGCACCTTGCAAGAAAACCCAGGTGCAAGCCCACAGCTGGCTTTCAGGGAACAGGATGCTTAGGAGCAACCCCCGCGCGCCCTGGGGCCGCCCGCACGCCCCCTCCTTTCACTTCCGGCCGCGCCAGCAGCGGGGCGGGGCTTCGCGGAGGGGCTGGCCTAGCTACCTCGCTCGCGCAGGCGCCGCATATTCTCCCGGGCCACGGGATCCCGGGCCACGTCGGCCGGGCGCTGCAGGCAGGTGGCGGTTACACGGGTGCTCCCGTCCAGGGTCTCGCTCAGCGCAGCGGCGAAGGAAAAATTCCCCTCCCCAACCAACAGGAGGCGCCGAGGGGCCATGGCCGGCACTTGCTCCCCGCTCGCGTCCTCGGAGGCGCCAGTTTTTACGTCACTTCCTCCTTTGGGGGGTGGTCTCTACTGGCCTCTCCCTCGGTCGCTGATTGATGATGCATCGTCAGCGTCCTGTCGTCCTGAGAGACGGGTGCCGCCAGTTCGGGGGGAGGGCAGGGGGTAAATAGCTATGAGTGCAAAAGGGGACTCCGACCATCCCGTCCCCTCCCTTCCTCGCACCCTCAGGAGGGTCAAGATCAATTCCTTTTAGCCCGAGCGCTGCCCTGAGGGACTTCGTCACACCTGCATGAGATCACAAGCAGGCACTAGCGCACAGGTGCGGGCCCAGGGAGAGGCGAGGTCTGAGTGAAGGGAGTGGGGCGGGGCTGAGGTCCAGGGGTGCCCTGTAGGGTACTGTCGCAGAGGGTTTTAGAACAATCTTCCGAAATGGCTGCTTCCCTTTGTCTCTGCTGCTCGAGATTTCTCCAGGTGCTTCTCTCTCCTACCTTTCATTCATTTAGGAAATACCAGGTGCCTATTATGTGCCAGGCCTCCGTGCGGGCGGCGAAATACATGGGTGACCAAGATGTGGCCTGTGAATTCACTGAGCTTACAGTCTCATGGAGACCGCACAGCGAAGGAGGCAGCCCTGGTACAGTGGGATGCGGCGCTACGAGGAGTCGTTCAGGGTGCAATAGGGGCACAGAAGGACCTAGAACCTCACCAAGATCCGGGATGAAGTGGAAACGTTCCCTGAGTGAAGTGAACCTGAACTGAAACCCAAGAGGAGTAGGGAGCACCTGAGGGGCTCAGTCGGTTAATCGTCTGCCCTTCAGCTCGGGTCATGTTCCCAGACCTGAGATCCTGAGGGATCTGAGATCCAGGGGACCTCGGGCTCCCTGCGAGGAGGAGTCTGCGTCTCCCTGTCCCTCTCTGCCTGCCGCTCCCCCTGCTTGTGCGCTCTCTCTCTCTCTCTCTCTCTCTCTCTCTCTCTCTCCCTAGCTCGCTCTCTCAAGTAAATAAATAAGATATTTTTAAAAAGAAAAGAGGGACGCTTGGGTGGGTCAGTGGTTAAGCGTCTGCCTTTGGCCCAGGGCGTGATGCTGGAGTTCTGGGATCAAGTCCCGAGATCAAGTCCCGAGATCGAGTCCCATATCAGGCTCCCTGCATGGAGCCTGCTTCTCCCTCTGCCTGTGTCTCTGCCTGTGTGTGTGTGTGTCTCATGAGTAAATAAATAAAATCGTTAAAGAGGCAGGAGGAACAATATATGCAAAAGCATGATGGAGAAACAGAATAGTTGAATTTGGCTGAAATGTAGTTGGAGAGTGGGTAACAGAGGAGATTGAAGAGTTAAGCAGGGGCCAGGTCATACAGAACACCCTAAGCCATTTTCACAACTTGAGTCTTATTCGGAAAACAGTGGCCAGCTTTTAAATAAGAAGATGACACAATTAGATTTTCATTTTCACACCATTCTTTACTATGGAGAAAGGATTGGAGAAGACCAAGGCTGATGGCAAGATCAGATAGGTGACTACAGCAATAATGGTGACAAAAGCCGGTAGTGATCTAAAATGGAACTTGGCAGTGAGGATGGAGGGTAGTGGTCTGATTAAAAAATCAATAAGACCTAGAAATTGGATGGATGTAAGAGGCAGAAAGAGAAGTCAGAGTCAAAGATAAGCCCAAGTCCTTTGGGACTTGGACAACTGAGTGGATATTGATGTCTGTCCTTACAGCTCCAAGGACAGTGTCACTTTGGTCTACAGTGTGAGTACCAGGCTTGTCAGATTTTGTGGGACCAATTACTCTGTGGTCATCATGCTGTTTGTTGACATCAGTGCATGCATCTCTCTTCACAAAGGTACAGGATAAGAGGGCAGTTACCTTTAAGGCTGCAGTATTGGCTTTGTCCCTACCTGTGGAAAGGTGGCTTGGTGGGTGGTGTCTCCCAGATCATGACCTCCTGGCCATGGTGATCCGGGTGACCTACATTCTTTCTTTGCCTGGAGAACTGGACGGCCAGGTTTGGTGATATCTCTTCCTTTAAAGAAAATGGAACAGCTGGATAAGATTTGCTATCACTTATCTACAAATTCTTCAAACAATACAAGCCACTCAGCATCAAAATACTGTTCATCAGTGAAGGTATTGTCTTACCCCCCAGCCAAGGGACCACAGTCCTCTTTTGGCCCAAAATTAAAATGGCTAGGCTTTTGATTCCTTACAAAAAATTGAAATATAGACATTGGTCATCTGATATGTGCAAAGCACCATTGACTGGGATAGGAGGCAGAATGAGAGGTATGATAATAAGATACAGGTCCTGTCCTCAAGGTATGTACACAGTTCAGTATAGGAGATTCAACACATACTTGAAGAACTTCAACGTATGGTAGAAAGCTAACGATATGAAGATACCATTCTGTGTGAGACAAAGGAGAGAAAAGTTAACTTGGAAGACATCATGAAAGAAGTGGCATTTGAGCTGAGTCCAAAAGGAAGAAAACTATCATTTACTGAACTCTTGTGTTAAGTAGTTATCCAACTTTCACTTTTCCCTATTCTCTTGGACTATAGCAATATTCTTAGACCTTAAACTCTTATATCTCTAAATTTCTTGAACATTTAGCTAGTTTTCCATATAGTATTGGGGATACTGAAGGTTTTCCTGCCTCTTTAGCGGGTGGCATTTAATGTCTGCCATCTGCTACTTTTGATTGAGAGGATAGTTCAAAGGATTCAGGGACCAGGAGAGAAAGAAACAGAACCACAATTAAACTGGGAGAAGAGCCTAGATTCTTAGGAAGGTGTACTTATGTTATACTTGGCCAAGGGTAAAGAAGGGATGAATGTCTTCTCTATTCCCTAGTTTATGCAACTTGCCTTTCTGTTCTCACTTTTTCCCAGAGACAGTCCCTCGCCTATTTCCTTGCAAACCCACACTATGGCAGCCTCATTAATGCAGATGGACATGCTGAAATATGGACAGATTGGAATGATATGTCCAAGTTTTTCCAATATGGATGGAGATGTACCACTAATGAGAATTCCTATTCAAATCATACCCTGATGGGAAACTGGAACCAGGAAAGATATGACCTAAGGAATATTGTGCAGCCCAAACCCTTGCCTTCCCAGGTAATCTAACTTTCTCTTTTGTTTCCTTCCATTAGCAAAAGAAATGCCAATGGCCATTTTAGAGGTAGAAATCTGAGAACTTCCATGCCGAGATCTCTCAGGCTTCTCTACTCAGTGAGGTGGTTGGGGGTGGACAGCAGTCTTTAACTGGAATGTCTGTCCTACTATACTATCAAGTTGAATAGTAAAGTATTCAAAGTATGGGTAGTACTCTTTCTCTTGCTTCTCTTTAGACTTTATTCATCTACATAAGTATATGTCTTCTGACTCAGGCTGCCTACCTAGATTTGTCATTTATCTGCATTTTGCCCGTAAATGTTTCCTAAACAAACAAGCAAACTTACAAAGGATATGAAAGTTAGTAGTATGTAGATGCACAACACATAGACCTCTAGTTAATCTAAAATATGACAGCATGTTAGAATTCATGTAATTGTGTCCTTTATTTCCCAATATTGGGTGTATACTCCTATATTTTTAACTAATTGGTTTTTCTTTCCAGTTTGGACACTATTTTGAAACAACATATGACATGAGCTATAACAACAAAAGGCCACTTTCAACTCATAGTAGGTGGACTGTTCTTTTCAATCTTTATATACTCAGGACTTAACTCCGTGCCTGGAACATAGAAGGAACTCAAATGAAAGTAAATTGGAAAATAAAAGTAAATTGAATGAGTAAATAAGTGCATGAATGAGTAAATGATTTTTCTCTTTTCTCAATTTTGGTAGGACTCACTAAACTCAGAAATTTTCCCTCAGAAATAAGAGCTAGACCAGTTCCTTGTTGTTGACTGATTCTACTTGTCTTTCCTTCCCTTTTCTCTTCCCCCAGGATTTAAGAGAGAGCCTCACTGGTTTCCAGGACATCAGCCTGAGCTGGATCCTCCTCGATACAAATGCACAGAAAAGTCAACTTATATGGCTAGCTACTCAGAGCCTCCACTTGGGCATTACTCTGCCTGTGTGTGGAATCCTAGTAACTGCCAACAGGTCCAGGATTCTAAGAAAGAATAAGAAGCTTCATTTTTCCAGAGTAAATTGTAAGAGGGAACACATTCTAAGCACAAGTAAGAATTTAGCTGACTATAATACAGTTTCACTCTCTGAATAAAGCACAGTAAATATTCCCTAACCCCTTTTTTGTTTGTTTTAATCAAGATTTAAATGTCAAATTTAAGTTAATTATGTCTGCTCTTAGTTCTCTGTTGCGAAGTTGTAGTAGGAGGGGATTAAAAAGAATTATTTTAAATCTGCAACTACTTTGCTCTTCCCTACCTTCCATATGGCAGTACTGCAAGATCCAGCATGACTTGGGTTATGTTTGATGAGGCGCTTCCTGGATATAAGCCGGGTGGTCACAATCAGATATGGTAACTTTATCATGACCTTAATGAATATCCCCTCTTAAGGACTACAAAAAGGGGAAAAAGACTTTTAAAAATTATTATAATGAATCTAAAACATAAAAAATTAGAGTAGTATAATGAACTCCCATATACATTACCCAGCTTCAATAATTTTTCATTTTTTCATTTTTCTAAAGATTTTATTTATTCATGAAAGACACAGAGAGAGGCAGAGACATAGGCAGAGGGAGAAGCAGGTTCCCTGGGGAGAGCCTGATGCGGGACTGGATCCCAGGACCCTGGGATCATGACCTGAGCCAAAGGCAGACACTCAACCACTGAATCAACCAGGTGCCCCAATAATTTATTTTTTTAAAGATTTTTTTTATTTGGGGGAGAGAGAGAGATTATGAGTGAGAGCGAGAAAGAATCTGAAGCGACTCCACAATGAGCACAGAGCCCAAAATGGGGCTCCATCCTACAACCACAAGATCATGACCTGAGCTGAAACCAAGAGTTGGGCACTTAACCAACTGACACCCAGGCACCTAGCTTCAACAATTTATGACTGATCTTAACTATCCTTATATACTTTCTCTATTTATAAAATTAATTTTAGAGCAGATCTCAGAAATTATATCTTTTCATCTCCAAAGATTTCAGTATATATCTCAAAAAGATAAAAATCATCAATTTTTTATTCCCCCACAAAGACCATCAAGGCAACCTTTCATCAAACAAAGCTGAGGTATTAAACCTGTAGCAGGGAAGCATATCAACTTGACACAGTCTTTGTGAGAATTCAAAAGGGGGATGTTCGGGGAGGGTATCTTGAGAGATTTGGGGTAAGGACTCTGTTGGTTTAAGACAAATCTTTCAGGGCACCTGGGTGGCTGGGCAGTTGAGTGTCTGTCTTCCGCTCCAGGCGGATCCCAGAGTGCTGGGATCAAGTCCCACATCAGGCTCCCCACAGGGAGACTGCTTGTCCTTCTGCCTGTGTCTCTGCCTCTCTCTCTGTCTCTCATGAATAAACAAATAAAATCTTAAAAAAAAAAAAAAGACGGGTCTTTCAAAGTGGGGAACTGGTAGGGATTGAGACAGGATCGTGAATAGTTTGAGCTTAGTGAGCACAGGGAGGCAACAGTCTAAATTTTAACACATTTGAACTTATCAATATTTTCCTTTTTTATTTTGTCTCCTGTTTATTATGATAATATAATGGATGAAAGATGTCTCCCATGTATTTCCTCCCAAACGTTCATTATTTTATATTACAAACACAGATATGGAATTTATGTTGTATAGGATGTGAGATAATCGAGCTTCATTTTTTTCCATATGACTATCCAGTTTTCCCATTAATTATTAATAATTATTGAAAAGACCATACTTTCTCCACTGCTCTTGAACACCATTTTTATTGTAAATCAACTCTCTGTGTATACTTGGGCCTTTTTCTGGGCCCTCTATTACATGCCATTGGCCTAACTGTCATTACATATGCTATCTTATCCACAATGCCTTAATTACTTTGCTATTGTAATTACGATAATTTTGTAAATCTTAATATCAAATAAATGAGATACTTTCACATTGTTTTTCTTCAAGAGTGCCTTAACTATTTCTAACCCATTGAAGTTCTATATAAATTTTAGGATCAACTTGCCAAATTTTACAAAAAAATACCATTAGGGTATTGGTGGAAACCGCATTGCATTGTTAGATCAACTTAAGAATTTGTTATAGGGGCGCCTGAGTGGCTCCATCGGTTAAGCATCCAACTCTTGATTTCGGCTCAGGTCATAATTTCAGGGTCATGAGACTGAGCTCTGCATTGGGCTCCCTACCCAGCAGGGAGTCAGCTCAAGATTCTTTCTCCCTCTGCCCCTCCCATTTGTTCCACCTCTTTCTCTCTCTCTAAAATAAACAAGTAAATCTTTTTAAAAATTTTAAGGGGCAGCCCGGGTGGCTCAGCAGTTTAGCGCCGCCTTCAGCTCGGGGTGTGATCCTGGGGACCCAGGATAGAGTCCCCCATCGGACTCCCTACACGGAGCCTGCTTCTCCCTCTGCCTGTGTCTCTGCCTCTCTCTCCCTCTCTGTGTCTCTTATGAATAAATAAATAAAATCTTTTAAAAAAACTTAAAATTTGAATTATTGCCTCTTACTAATTCTAGTAATTCATTAAAATATGTTCTTGAAATACGAATATTTTTAGGCACTTATTTTAAGTTTATGTTATATATCCTATTTCCTGTGTATCCAGCATATTTTTTAGATAGTAGTAGTAGTAAAATATATATGGCATAAACTTACCATTTTAATGATTTTTTTATTATTTATTTTTATTATTTTATTTATTTATTTGAGAGAGTGCGGAGGGGAGGAGCAGGGGGAGAGGGACAAGCAGACTCCATGCTGAGCGTGGACTGAGCCCAATGTGGGGCTCCATCTCATAACCCTGAGATCACAACCTGAGCCAAAATCAAGAGTCAGTAGCCCAATGTGGGGCTCAAGCTTACAACCCCAAGATCAAGAGTCATACACTCTTACTGACTGAGCCAGCCAGGTTCCCTATTTTAACTATTTTTAAATGTACAATTTAGTGGCATTAAGTATATTCACAGTGTTGTGTGACTATTAGCACTGTTTCCGGAACTGTGTCATTATCCCAAACTGAAGCTCTGTACCAATTAAACACTGACTTCTCATTCCCCTCTCCTCCTAAACCCTGACAACCACTGTTCTCCTTTGTGTCTCTATGAATTGGCCTATTCTAGAAACCTCATATAAGGGGAATCATGTCATATTTGTTCTTTTGTGTCTGGTTTATTTTGTTTAGCTTGTTTTCAAGGTTCATCCACATATATTCCTTTTAAGACTGAATAATATTCCATTATGTATTTACTACATTTTTCTATTCCATTCATCTGTTAATGGATACTTGGGTTGTTTTTGCCATTTGTCTATTGTGAGTAATTCTGCTATGAACATTGGTGTACAAGTATCTGTTTGACTCCCCATTTTCAATTATTTTGGAGGTATACCTAGAAGTGGAATTGCTAATCATATGGTCATTCTGTATATAACAGTTTGGAAATGCCCAACAACTGTTTTCCACTGCATTTCTTTTTAAATTCTTGCTAGCAATGCACAAGGATTCTAACTTTTCCACATCCTTGCTGACACTTATTTTGTTTTTTAGTTTTTGTTTTTATAATAACCATCCTAGTGGGTATAGAATGGTATCTGTTGTGGTTTAGATTTACACTTCCCTAATGGCTAGTGATCTTGAGCATCTTTTCATGTGCTGTTTAGCTATTTGTATATCTTTGGAGGAAAGTTTATTCAACTCCTTTGCCCATTCTTGAATAGAGTTGTTTGCCCTTTTGTTGTAGGAGTTCTTTATATATTCTGGATATTGATTTCTAGTCAGATACAGGATTCGCAAATATTTTCTCCCATTCTGTGGATTGTACTTTCTTTCACTCCTTTAGCAATGAATGCCCTTTGATGCACAGAAGTTTTCAATTTTGATGAAGTTCTGTTTATCTATTTTTTCTTTTGTTGCCTGAACTTTTGGTGTCATATCCAAGAAATTCTTGCCAAAGTCAACATTATGGATATTTTCCCATAGGTTTTCTTCTAAGATTCTACCGTTTTCACCTTATAACTAAGTTTTTGAAAAAAGAAAAAATGATTAAGTCTTTGATCCTTTTTGAATTAACTTTTTAGATGGTATAAGGTAAGGGTCCAGCTTCATTCTTTTGCATGTGGAATGTTCAGTTTTTTCAGCATCATTTGTTGAAAAGACTGTACTTTCCTCCATTAAATGGACTTGGTATCTTTGTCAAAAAAAACATTTAACCATATGCATAATGGTTTATTTCTGACCTCTGTATTCTATTCCACTGGTCTATATATCTCTTTTTGTGCTAACACCCCACTGTTTTTTATTACTGTAGTTTGAAATAAGTTTTGAAATTAGGAAATATGAGTCTTCCAACTATGTTCTTCTTTTTATTTATTTTTTAAAATATTTTATTTATTTATTAATAGAGACACAGAGAGAGAATGAGAGGCAGAGACACAGGCAGAGGGAGAAGCAGGCTCCATGCAGAGAGCCTGACGTGGGACTCAATCCAGAGTCTCCAGGATCACGCCCTGGGCTGCAGGCGGCGCTAAACCGCTGCGCCACTGGGGCTGCCCTGTTCTTTTTAGATATTATTTTGGCTATTCAGGGTCCCTTGAGAGTTCATATGAATTTTAGGGTAAATTTTTCTATTTATGGAAAAAGAGGTGTTAAAATTTTTAATAGGGATTCAAATAACTCTATAGATTGCTTTAGCTAGGTTGATATCTTGACAATATTAAGTATTCTAGTCCATGAACATATGATGTCTTTCCATTTATGTCTTTAATTTATTTCAGCCATTTTTTTTTTAAATTTTTTTATTTGTTTATGATAGTTACAGAGAGAGAGAGAGAGGCAGAGACACAGGCAGAGGGAGAAGCAGGCTCCATGCACCGGGAGCCCGACGTGGGATTCGATCCCGGGTCTCCAGGATCGCGCCCTGGGCCAAAGGCAGGCGCCATACCGCTGCGCCACCCAGGGATCCCTATTTCAGCCATTTTTTTATTGTTTTTCAGTATATAAGCCTTTTGCCTCCTTAGTTAAGTTTATTCATAGTATTTTTGATGCTGTTATAAATAGATTTGTTTTCTTTTTTTAAGATTTTATTTTATTTATTTATTCATGAGTGACACACAGAGAGAGGCAGAGAAGTAGACAGAGGGAGAAGCAGACTCCCTGTGGGGAGTCCAGTGCAGGACTCGATCACAGGACCCAGGATCACGATCTGAGTCAAAGGCAGACGCTCAACCACTGAGCCACTCAGGCACCCTTCGATTTGTTTTCTTAATTTCCTTTTGGGATTATTCTTTGTTAGCATATAGAAATGTAGATGACTTTTGTATGTTGGCTTTGTATCCTGCAACTTTGGTGTATTTGTTTTTTAGCTCTAGAGAGTTTTTTGGTGAAATCTTTAGGCTTTCTACATGTAAGATCATGTCATCTATAAACAGATAATTTAATCCCTTCCTTTCCAATTTGGAAGCTCTTCTTTTTCTTACCTAATTACTCTGGCTAGAGCTGCCAATAATAGTGGCAGAAGCTGCCACTTCTATTGAATAAAAGTGGTGAAAGTGAAAATTCTTGTTTTGTTCCTGATCTTAAAGGAAAACCTTTCAATTTTCACCACTGGCTATGATGTTAGCTGTGAGTTTTTCATATATGGTCTTTATTTTGTTGAGGTAATTTCCTGCTATTCCTAATTGAGTGTTTTTATTATGAATAGATATTGAATTCTAATATTCTTTCTGCATCATTTGAGATTAGCATTTTTCCCGCTTCATTCTGTTAATGTGGTGTAGTACATTGATTTTTATGTTTAATCAACTTTGCATTTCAGGAATAAATCTCATTTGGTTGCAAGGTATCCTCTTAATATGCTGCTAAATTCGGTTTTCTAGTATTTTATTGATTTTTGCATCAATATTCATAAGGAGCATTGGTCTATAGTTTTCTTGCAATGTCTTTGTCTGGTTTCAGTATTGGGGGAATACTGGCATCATAGAATGAGTTAAAAACTGGGTGATGGGGTGCCTGGGTGGCTCAGTTGGGGAAGTATCTGCCTTCAACTCAGGTCATGGTCCCAGGGTCTTGGGATTGAGGCTCATCTGGCTCCCTGCTCAGCGGGGAGTCTGCTTCTCCCTCTCCCTCTGCCACTCCCCCTTGCTTGTACTCTCTGGCTCTCTCCCTGTCAAACAAGTAAATAAAATATTTTTAAAAAACAACAACTGGGTGATGGACATCAGGAGGGCACATGATATGATGAGCACTTGGTATTATATAAGACTGATGAATCACTGACCTCTACCTCTGAAACTAATAATACATTATATGTCAATTAATTGAATTTTTTTAATTTTTTAAAGATTTTACTTATTTATTTGACACGAAGAGAGGCAGCAGGCAGAGGGAGAAGAGGAAGCAGGCTCCCTGCGTGCTGAGCAGGGAGCACAATGTGGTCCTCAATCCCAGGACCCTGGGATCATGACCAGAGAGAGGCAGGCACTTAACCAACTGAGCCACCCAGGAGCATCCCTAATTGAATTTAAATTAAAAAAAAAAAAAGAATGAGTTAAGAAATGTTTACTCCTGGGGCACCTGGCTCAGTCAAAAGAACATGTGACTCTTGATCTTGGGGTTGTGAGTTTGAGCTCCACGTAGGGTACACAGATTACTAAAAAAAAAAAAAAAAAAGATTAAAAAGTAAAACTTAAAAAAAGAAAGAAATGCTTCCTCCTCTTCAATTTTTTGGAAGAGTTTGACAAGGATTGGATTTAATTATTTAAATGTTTGGCAGAATTCTGACCCAGGGCTTTTCTTTGTTGGGATGTTATTGCTGATTCTATCTCCTTGTTAGCTACAGGACTATTCATATTTTCTACTTCTTCATGATTCCATTTTAGTAGATAATGTGTTTCTAGAAATGTATCATGCTCTTTCTCTCTCAAATAAATAAATAGATA